TTCATAAAAATTTAAAAAGGGAACATATAAAGATAAAACAATAAAGATTGGCAATGAAGAAGTATTCCGAAGAACGGAATGTGAACCTGAAATATTGCTTAATATAAAATGACCGGAACTGGATAAGACAACAGAAAAAGAAGGATTTCGCCGATAAAGCACCATTTTCCTTCCCACGCCTACTGGCGAGGAAGTATTGTCATCGCGATAAGTTTTGAAATCACGAAACACCATTTTCACTCAATTTCGTCTGTCTGTCGGCCCGGCAATTCCTGGCCCATCTATTTATAATTTGGGAAGTTCATGTCGGATGTTGGTGTTATTTTCACGCAAGGTTACAACAATGCCAAGGACGAAAAGGCTTTGTAACAAAAATTGCTTTAACTTCGTCCTTTGGCATTTCAGAGGCTTCAGATCTGTTTCATAAAATACTTTGTAAGGCCAATATAGGGAGTTAGGGGTTGTAGGTAGTGGGGGAGTATACCTGTATGTCTCCAGTGTTTGGAGTTATTATATTGATACGCTTCCAACTACGGTAATTCACACCACCTACTGAACATATTATACAGGGTGTTTCAGTTTATTGTTGCATAACTTTAAGATTCGATAGAACTTTTAAAATTGATGCATAAAGTCTATATAAACATGGGTCGAAAAATGCGTGGCTTCCGAAATACAGGGTGTTTAAATTTACTTTCTGAAATAGTTTTTTTTTTAAATATTTCGAACAATATTTGATGTATAACAGTGAAAATTGGTATACAAGGGTTTTTTGGCCCGACAAAACGAACCATGGGCATAGTTTTACTGTAGCCGCTAGAGGGCGCTCTCTACTGTATCTGTAGTGTATTAAAATGAGCGAAGATTTTTTCGTAGTGCAATTTTTTGCTTTTTTAATAAAATAACTGATTCTCCGCACTTTTCAACATAAAAAAGCGCTCCTGTGAATTTTCGTTATAGTTAGCCGTTTTTGAGATATTTCGATTTTTAAGGTTCGATGCATTTTTAATTATTTATGATAGAATAACGTTAAAAAGTCAGTATCTCGATAATTTTTAGAAGTAGGCTGTGCGTGCAAATATTTTTGAAATTGAAAGCAGAATAAGGTTAAACGTCAATTAGTTGACAGTTAGTTTTGTTGTCTGTTGAAACCTGAAACGTTTTTTTACAATTGTGAATTCACGAAATTTAGTTTCTTTTACCTGTTTTTTTTTGTAAGTTTTATAAAAATGCCATTTTTATTCTCCAATCAAGAGTTAGCGGATATTCATTTTGTGTATGGCTTTGTAAATGGAAACGCAGCAGAAGCAGACAGAGAATACGCACGAAGATTTCCAAACAGACGACATCCAACTCGCTCAGTATTTGTAAGAATGCATCGCCAAATAATTGAAAATGGTTTTGGAAATCTCCAAAGGGATCAAAACATAAATGTTCGCAGATTTACCCGTATGATTATGCGTGAGTTTGAGAGAGATCCGACCACAAGTGTTAGGAGAGTTTCTGGTGCCTTGGGAATTTCAGCAAGACATGTTCACCGTGTTCTTAGAAATGACCATAGACGTCCTTACCATTTGCAACCTGTGCAAGGACTACAGCCAGGGGACGGAGAACGAAGAATCACATTTTGTCAGTGGATTCTTGATAGAACTGATAATAATGGGGAGTTTTTAAATAACGTTTTATGAACCGATGAGTCATGCTTCACTAGACGTGGAGTCGTAAATATTCATAATCAACATATTAGGTCGCATGAAAATCCGCATGCAGTTCGGGAAAGAATTTTTTAGCATGAATTTAGTGTGAACGTGTGGACTTGTATCTACCGTAATCTACTATTTGGACCCTACCTTTTGCCTGCAAGGTCAAATGCTGCGACCTTCTTGGAATTTTTAAAGGCTGAACATACAAATATGTGGGATGATGTTATGTTAGATTTAAGAAGATTGGCCTGGTTCCAGCTTGATGGTTGTCCAGCTCATTATTCGAGAATAGTTAGTAACTGGCTGGACGAAAATTATCCAGAAAGATGGATCGGCCGTGGAGGACCAGTCGCCTGGCCTCCACGATCCCCTGACCTAAATCCATTAGATTTCTTTGTGTGGGGATTTCTAAAAGAAAAAGTGTACCAGACTCCCGTAACCACAAGAGATATGCTAATAGACAGAATCAGGAATGCATGTGATGAAATAAGGCCTTATTTGAATAATGCTATACCACGTTCGATCATTCGTAGATGTGTATTGAACAATTGGGTTTACATTTCGAGCAACTACTTTAGATTTTGTATGTTTGTCCTAACTATCCAATAGCATTTTAGTTGTAAATAATTAATTTAATTTGTTAAAAATAACATTGGAAAATTAAACAAATTAATATTCTGTTTTTTTGTGTTTATTTGGAGTTATGAATTATTGCTGTGTTTAAAAACACAATCTAAACGATCATCTTAATTACTTGTAATGCCAAATCGAAAATGTAAAAAAAAATATTATTTTACCATAAATAATTAAAAATGCATCGAACCTCAAAAATCGAAATATCTCAAAAACGGCTAACTATCACGAAAACTCACAAGAGAGCTTTTTTATGCAGAAAAGTGCGAGGAATCATTTTTTTAATTCAAAAAGCAAAAAATTGCACTAAGAAAAAATTTTCGGCCATTTTACTACACTGCAGGTACAATAGGGAGCGCCCTCTAGCGGCTACAGTAAAACTATGTCCATGGTTCGTTTTGTCGTACCAAAAAACTCTTGTATACCAATTTTCACTGTTATACATCAAATATTGTTCGAAATATTTAAAAAAAATAGAAAGTAAATTTAAACACCCTGTATTTCGGAAGCCACGCATTTTTCGACCCATGTTTATGTAGACTTTATGCATTAATTTCAAAAGTTCTATCGAATCTTAAAGTAATGCAACAATAAACTGAAACACCCTGTATATTTAATAAAAACTGCTCTACTCTAAGGTGTAATTTATACAAAATAATACAATGTACAGTGCTTTTTGTTTTTTGTCACTTTCACCGCATCTTTCCAATTTAGTCCCCTTTGTATCAGTGCCACTACCACCTCATTGATCCATTTCTTTTTTGGACCTCTACTCGTATCCCTTTTCTTTAGACTCTTGCTTCCCACACCACCTGTTTAGCTGGTCTACTTTTCTTCATGCGGTTCAGGTGTCCAAACCATCTTGATTATTGTGCTTCAATTCAACTTTATGCAAGATTGGTTCAACTCCCAGTTCTGCCATTACTATATCATTATGGCGAATTATTCCTTTGACTTTTCTTAAAAATTTCAATCTACTGCCTGGATCTTGCTCTTTAATCTGTTTGTTAGCACTCCACTTTCGCTACCATAAATTAATGTTGGTCTAAATACTTTTTTGTAAACAATCATCTTGAATTTCCTGCTAATTTTCTTGTTTCCAAGAAAGGCTTTGCTCATTGTATGATATGTCTTTACTGCTTTATTGATTATTTCATTGAGTTCAGCTTCCATACTGCCTTCTTACTGTATGATAACCCCAAGATATTTGTACACATCTACCTATTCCAATTCGTTATTATTAATTAGAATTTTTATTTCTTTAACATTTTTCCGATGAATTACCTTAGATTTGGCTACAATTTTCAGATTTCTTATTTCTAATTCGGCGTTAAAAGTTCTAGATTAGTTTATTAGTTTATTTTTCACCTACTAGTTATATTTCACACATCATAGATTTCCCTGTACATTTGCCCTTAAAACTTACAATGATAGAGAAATGTTTTCAACATGCAACTCTGACCCTGTTCGTATCGTATTGTGAATCTTTATATTTAAATTTCTTTGATAAATTGTAACAGATTTGTATCAAATGGTAAACAGATATATCTAAAGAAATCGTGATTGATTTACAGAGAACTGTAATAAATTTTTCATGACCCTATGCAACTTTTCGCATTAAACCACATGGAAAGGGTCACAGGATCTGGAAGAGACCTTGATTGCACTATTGCACCTGGAAAAATAGAAATAGTAATAGAAATTAAGCTCATTGTTATAGGTAATAAATGTTGCCAATAGTAGTAGATTCATTACAATTGTAATTAGGGAACAACGGTGCCGATAAGTGTCGTACCACATTTGACTGATTGATCCATATAATTTTTCTGTTAGGTATACATACTCGTAGGGGTTAACTTATGTCGAACTTTATGAGCTGACTGACAGCGTTTAAGAGTCAACCTACTTGTCGCCAATTTCTGGATTTGGTTCTGCCACCAATCGGATTTAAAATTCCCATGGCATTGACATCGTTGGCACAACAGTAAGCTTGTATCAAAATTTCACCAAAATCTGAGCGCTGAGTGCTTCCGCGTTATAGAGGGGCCAACGATTTGTCATTGTAGCCCCAATTGCCGGTGTCGTTGTCGAGAGAGTTGAGTAACTGTTGAATCCATTCTGTTGACTGCTCACGATCAGATCAAAGAAATACCAGTAGGAGACCTTTGGACCAACATCTAAACGTACACAGCTTGCCGAATTTACATCCCTCAACATACATATGGACGTTTCGTGGTGTACAGACGAGGGCACAGCCTACTACCCTACTTTCACTTTCAAGTACCACCCCAGGCTGTATCCGCCAGCCTACGTTTCTCCATTCGAAGAAGGCCCTTCCTATTTTCCCTTACAATACACAAATAGAAAACAGAAAAAACTGTATACGCGCTTCTGCAGAGGTAATAATAACTGGCGGCGAGGTTTTTAGACCATCTGAAATGAGTGGCGGTGCCCTTTAAAACTACCCGAATACAAAAGGGCCTCACAGATAAAATATCTCGAGGCGGCATCAGACCGTAATATAACCAACCATCTGTCTGTGTTTTCAAAAGAATACCTATACCTTCCTCCTTGTGCAATCATCTCAACGAGTGGGGTTTACAAATAAAGATTTCAGAAAGAATCATATATGAGCATAAGGGATGAATACCATTTATGTTTCTTTTAGTTATAGTTTCGATCTCCGCGAGCGAGTCTGTAAGTCTTTAACTGATTTGCGCGGTGTAGGTGTGGTGTAGTGTATCCATCATGTGAAGCAATGCGATTGTGATGGTCAACCGTGAGTTACAAAGCAATGGCATTAGGTAAAACACATAATCCGTCACATTTCCTCGGTTATCAATCTATTTGGATCCAACAAATCGGATTCCCGTGCATTCAAGAAAATATCTCAATCCGTTGGTTTTCAGAATCAGCGGTTCTCAATTTTGAACATTATTTTCTAGGTATTTACAGATAATGAAACCAACTATCCAAATCTATTCAACTGCTCGTTCTACGAGGTTGAATATCAGTTTTATGATTATTCACAACCCTATTTTATATTGAATGTCATTCTTAGGAAAAAGTTAGTTATGCACAGTAATAATATTGAGCACAGCAAATATGTTCGATGTAGATACACATAAATCAAACATACAGTAATGGTCAAAAGTATATAGACAAATATGAATATTTACCCAAATACCTTTAGAAAACGAATTCATACTTCGTAAACAAAAAATGCGTTCTTAGTAGAAAAACTAAATTCCTTGTTTTTACATTATCTGCAATGAACACAATACAAGTCTGAATATAAGCACTTTTTTATGAGGGACAAAAATATGTAGACAAATTCTTTTCAACATTAGTTCAGTACAGTTTCGTGTCAGTAGAGAATAAGTTTGTGTTCATCAAGTATTGTGGAATAAGTTGAGTGATTTTAAGACCATGCCGCGAGGTCCAGAAATTTCTTTCGATGTGAAAACTAAGATCATTGAGTTATACAAAGTCAAGTCGACATTGCCAAAAATTTGAAGCTGAAGCGTAAAGCAGTTTGGGCAATATTGAACAAATATAAACAAAAAGGTATCTTGGAAGCCTCCGAGAGAAGTGGTTGGCCTATAAAAATAAATGCTAGATCAGTTAGATTAAAAAAAGTAATTTCGACCGTTTAAAACCCCAATACAAAAGCCGAAATCGAGACAAAAGGAATTGCCTACGAAAACTGTAAGTAGAAGATTAAATGATTTGAAGTTATTTGCACGTCGCCCGAGTACGAAGCCGCTAATCTCGAAGAAAAACCGTAAGGACCGATTACAATTAGCACGGTTGCATCTTGATTGGAGCATCTGTGACTGGAAGAGGGTATGTTTCAGTGACGAATCCAATTTCAATATGTTTTGATCAGATTGTGTTCATTACGTTAGACGTCCTAGTGGACAAAGATTGAACCTCAAGTACACTTTGCCCACGGTCAAACATGGAGGCGGGTCTGTTATGGTTTGAGAGTGCTTTTCTGGGTTTGGGATGGGACCTTTACATAGAATAGATGGCATTATGGATAAGTTTGTATACACAGACATACTAAAGCATATCATGTTACCCAATATGGAAGACAATATGCCCTTAAGATCAATCTTCCAGCAAGCACTGGATGAAAAAATACCAGTTCTGAAATGGCCTTCACAGTCTCCCGATATAAATCCCATTGAAAATCTATGGGAATAGGTAGATAAGCAAATACGAGATAAAAATTATTCAAACAAGGATGAACTTTTTACCGCTTTAGAGCAAAAGTGGAGACAGACTGATGAATCTTATATCAAGAAACTTCTACAATCTATGCCGAGACGATGCCAGGCGGTGATTGATAATAATGCTTTTGCTACAAAATATTAACACAAACATGGTTGTTTTTCTATAATTCAATGAACTTTGTTTCTTTTTATAAGTGAGTATTATGCTATAACGAACTATGCATACAGGTTGGTGTATTAATAAAGCAAGTTGGAAAAGAAATACAGCACAATATTAATTTGTCTATGTACTTTTGTCCATTACTGTATGTACTGACTATGGAGAATGGACTCATTATGTTTTCTGTCTCAAAGGAAAAATTGTTGTGTGTGGACTGACAGATTGGTAGGGCGTTAGAAGAACAGAAGTCCCTTAGATATCAAAATTACTGAAAAAATATTCTCATACACTCCCACTTTTATAAAAAAATGTAAAGGAGGGTCCAAGGTATAGTCGAAATCACGAAAGATGACGATTACGTCATCGTTTTAGTGTGTAGTAAACATATTTAATGAAGTTTCTGATATGTTAGAAAGAGACAAACAGCATTTTATTGTCTAAACAAACTGTATTGCTAATTTGCATGCATCCGACAAAGATAGACGATGTTTTCATGTTGCATGATCGATCATATTTGAAAGATGAATAGTTAGGTTATGTTAAAGCAGGTCATGTTGTTTCCGAATAATACATTGTTCTTTGGTGTTCCTGTCTTAAGGTATTCTACTCATTACTGTTTTTTTCAAAACAAAAACTCTCCACTAAATTTATCAGTGAATCAGAAATAATCAGTGAAATATCCTAACTTCGCAAAATCATAATATAAATTTGTTGTCATTATGTTCCTGACATCGTGATTTTATCATCGATGTACGTCCATTGATTACTTCAGTACAATTTAGGGTATGACGTAATAGTCATCTTTCGTGATTTTGACTATACTGGATCTCATTCAAATAGGCCCTAACTACACTTCGACTGTTTCCTCAAAAGTGCCGCCTGCAAATAGTGATTATGCTGCTGTATGCCCCGAGCCAACATACAACACCGGCAGTTGTTATGGAGACGGCGCTTGGGTGATATGACGGTTGTTGGCAGTTGGCACTAGATTTAGAAATGAATAAGTTGCTAAATGAACGATAATTATCGTTTTTGTATTATAATTTCAATTATGTTCGATACTACGTGTATGCTAATAACTAAATGTACATTCATTGCAGATTGTTCAATAACCTAAGAAAGTATGATCATTGATCATATCAGATCTTATTTAAGAGACATGAAATGTTTGAGAGTAAAAGAACTGTATGCGATACACTTAGTCACTTATACACATAAGCTTTTACTCACAGCCACCCTTCCATTTTTAAAGACAGACAAGACGGCCTTCTTTCGTAAAGCTTCACATACAACGCAGTTATTCTTACAACGAACTTCCACGAGCCACAAAATTGCTATAATATGAAAAACATTGAAATATTTATTTTGGATAAATATACTTTAATTAGTTTATCAACCTTTCACAAAATAATGATAATAATAATAAATCGCCTTTATTTAGGGGGCAAAGTTTAGCATAATGCTACTCTGCCACTGAACCTCCACAAAAGAAAGAAAAACTGAAAAACAATACAAAAAATATAAATACATTTGATAGGTTAGAAGTTTAAAAATATAGGTGTATAAAAAATATGATGTATATAACATACATATACAAATGAAGGCTATTCAATATTTCATTAGTTGAAAGTATAAAATTGTAACAGATATAGTTACAAACAAAGGAATGCTATATTGTAAATATTTTTGTGTGTGGTGACAGATAAATTTTATCAACTAATTTATATACTTTTATTCAAAATAAATTTCTTCATATGTCTTTTAAATTCGTCATATGATATCAATTTTGTGGATAGAGGTATAGCATTTTAAAAAATAATTGCGTTGTAGGTGGAGCATTTAAGAAAGAAACATGTCCTGTGAAGGGGCATTGTGAGTGTTTCAGTGAATCGAATGTCCATAGAATGGATATTGCTTCTGGATATCAGCTTATTTCTCAAAAACGGCGGAATTAGCAAAAGCCTGTGGGTGTAAGTAACTAGATGTAGCTCATAAAGTTCATTTATTCTAAACCACATCATGTCTATAAAACAAGGCCTGACATCATTTTTTTTCAAATTATTGATCAACCGACAACATACGTTTTAGATTTTTGGAGACGTGCTAGAGCTATTGAGTTAAGAAATGGAAGATAAACTAAATCGCAATAACTAATTTCCGACATTATCAAAGATTCACTCAAAATGTTTTTAGTTGTAAAGTCAAGAATTTTTTTATTATTAAGATATAATTAACGTAAAATGGAAAAACAACTCTTACTGATATTATTTACATGTGGTATAAAATTTAGACATTCATCTAAAGTTACACCCAAGCTATTCACTGACTCACTTACTTCTATAGTCTCACTATTTAATTTTACTTTAAAATTTCTTTTGGCATCGCTTCTAAACACTTCTGGTGAAAAAATAATGACTTTCGATTTTAAAGTGTTCAACTGAAGGTTATGATTCCTTGCATACATACTAATAGGTGTTATATCTTCATTAACCTCAGGTTCAGCATGTTTCAATATAAAATATAATCCTTTCAACTGTAAACTGTTACAATTTATATTTTGTACACAACTTATTTATACAACTGTGTATACTATGTTTTGTTTTTTGTTGTACTGTTGTAGGTTTTTTTTTTGGTTCAAGTGGTAGAACAGCAGTATGCTAAGCTTCGCCCCTAAAAAAGACGATCATTATTATTACTATCATATAATATATAGCAACAAATTTGGGCGGTCCGAGGAGTTGATGAAAATTGATTATTTTCACCATAAAATAAAAAATATTTTTTTCTTTCGCTGCTTTATATTTTAATTACAGTTTTAATTTATTTTTTTATTGGAATAATACTTTTACGCGTTTACGCTTAATTCAGGAAAATAAAGTCATGATGAATGGGATATTTGCGTGACAGAAGTTTTTATCATTTGAATTTGAATCAAACCCGCCTTTAAATCCCATCAATTAGCTTGTGCAATACTTATTCTCTAATCTGCCAAGGAACAGGTGTACTTTAATCCAGTACTATTTTCTCCTTGCCATTTAATCCATCTGTCATAAAGGTTTATATGCCCTAATACAGCCTGAAATGAAATCGCTCATTCAGATCCACCCCCTCTTGATGTTTTTCCAGTTGACAATGTGTCCTTTGAAAAAGCCTCTCATAGAGGCCCTCTATCTGTGCAGCATTCTCATTTGCATATGTCCACATATGGAAATCCCTAACAAATATAATGGGAGGGCACCCACTTACTCATCACCCTTATTGCCGTGACGACATTCTCCGTGTT